ATACTCAAACGCTCTAGCCCTCTTTACGCTGCTTGCGACGCAACAGGGGCTCATCGTCTTCCTCATCGTCATCGTCAACTCGCTCAGCACCCCTATCTGCGCCTTCAGCCTTCCTCCCAGCTTGGCCCTCTTCTCCTTCCGGGCGCTCATCCTCCTCCTCATCTTCCTCTTCATCATCCTCACCCCCCGACTCGGAGTCGGACTCCAGGGGACGCTTCTCACCAATCCACGTTTGCACTTGGCGCACCATTTCGCGCGTGTCCCAACGGAGTTCCGGGTTCTCCGGTCGCACCTTCTTCCCGACCGCGAGCACGGCCTTGGTCATAGCGTCGGCCAGAATCTTCCCGAAAGAAGGAGAAGACTTGAACTGGCGAACGGCCGCGACCCCGGCCTCGCGGACAGCTTCCGCCTTCGCGATGTTATGGAGACGGACCAAGTCGTCCTTCTCCTTCTGATGCTCTTCGCGAGCTTGCTTTAGCTTCTTATCAAAGGAGGCCTCCAGTTGACTACGGATGGATGAGCGCTCCTCAGCTCGCACTTGCTCTTTCGCCGCCAACACATCGGCGGCCAGCCTACTCTGCAGCAGGCCAAGTTCCTCCATTGCCTCGTTGGCTTTGTTGGTGGCCACATCGGCACGGTTGTTCGCGCCAACCACCTTGCCCTCCAGCTGGACGATCTTGGCCTCGTCGTCCTTTATCCTGGCGCGCTGCAGCGCGCGCTCCTTCTGAGCCCGGTAAGTGGCCGACAAACCCTACAACGCTCAAAGACTTAGCAAAACAGATGAATAAAAAAAAAACATTAGACGCGGCAAAACTCAAGCTCGGTCTTACCGCGAAGTGAATCTGAGCCAAATCGTGCAATGGGTCAGACTTCTCCACCCGGGGCGGAACACTTAGCACGGGTCCAAGCGCCCGAAGTGCAGTATTGGCGGCCACGAGATTGCAGGCCGCCGATGTATGAATCCGCACGTCGCGGAAGTAGTTGACCGTCGCAGCGCCGGCAGTGGGTGACGCGGAGGTCCCCCCGAAGCCTGCCATTTCAGGAAGCTTCTGCTGGACGGTGGCACCAGAGGAGCTCCCAGCCTTGTCTCCCCTCTCCCTCTCAGACCGAGAGGGCCTACTCACCGCCTCCTCCGGCTGTGAAAGCGCCAGAGCCAACTCCCGCGCGACAGATAGCGTCGCGCCCCCTTGAGCAGCTTGCGCATCCTACGCCACTCGCGCGCTCGCTTCCGCAACGCGAGCCACCTTATGTGGCGGTTCAACCGCCGCTCGGGGCTGCTCAATCCCCTTCCGCTTTGCGCCCCTCGGCACCGCACCCTCCTTCTCCTTCTTCTTCTTCTTCTTGTCGACGCGTGGCGCGACGTCGTCGACCGACATCATGCTGACGAGACTGGAGAAGTCAACACCTGCGCCAATAAGTCGTAAGAAAGCGGTTAATATGACAAGAATGCAAAAGAAAAGAAATACAACTAACCATCGGCGAACAGCTCCTGCAAACAAGCCTCGCACACTCCCGCGTCGTATAAGTTCATCCTATGATCCATGCACGCCTCATAGTCATCGTCCAACCCGTCGTAGGCGCCGACGTCTGACTCGTACCCGTGCGTTTTGTCGTTCTTCCATTCAGTGGGCTCCTCAACAAACTCACTCGCCCACTCTCCAGGAACGGGCTTGACGTAGAAAAAGCGGTCGAACCAAGTCTTCTTCAACTTGGGCGACCCGTACACGAAGCCCTCGGGCCTCTTGTTGCGACGCTTGATGGAAAGGCAGTCGCTCTGCGTGGTTGGCTCCTTGATCTTATATATCTTCCGGAAGAGGCCGTAAGTCGGCTCGATGTTGAGCCGCTTGCACGCGAGTCGGAGACAGCTCTCGTGCATGATGATGGATGGAGAGAGCCGCCCAATGGAGCATTTGAGGCGCCTATACAGAGCGCACAAGAGCGGGTCGATGGGGAACTTAAACCCCATCACCCAATACTCCGTGTACACGCCAAACCAGCCCGCGGGGTAGTGACCCACCATGCTGCGCGTAGACGGAGCAGCGTACTGCCAATGGGGGGGCAAGCCCAGCCCGCGCACTATCTCCTCCACATCGTCAACATCATATATGGAGGCGTGTTCGGGACCGCGCTTGAGGTTGTCGTGCGGCGCGGGTTGATCGCCCCACATCTCGGCCCACTCTATAACATTGTACGCGGCGCCAACACCGCGTAATCCGAGCCGAGCCATAGCCTCGGAGACGCGCACATTATAGTCCGGCTCCGACTGCGCGCCAGATTCTTCGCGCACGTCACCACCAGCTTCCACCGGCCTCCCATCACAGCCACGGCGGATTATCAGCACACCACTAGCCCCTTGTCTCGCCCGCCCGCTCCCGGAGGCACCCATACCTTCGTCGGGAGAATCACCGAGATTGTCCTCCGATTCGATGTCGAACGACGGCGTCGCCGGAACTCCATCGCCGCCGTTCCCATCGCCGGAACCGTCGTTTAATTCGATCGAGTGATCAGTAGAAGTGTGCGAAAGAGTGGAAAGATTACCTTCTTCGCCTTGTACGACCTCAGCCTCGTTGATGTTGATGCCAGCCATGATAATAACTTGATCCAGCAACAAAGAAAGGAGTATCGAGGTTGTAAAAGAAGGAGAGGAATCTCAGAGAACGAAGAACAGAGAAACGATGAGCAGAATTGCGAAAACAGATGAGTCCAACCCTCCCATAAGAAACCCATATTTATACGCAGCCAAAGGAAAACGAAGGGTTAAAGCTGCATAGGGATTTGTAACCGTCAGATCCCACAAAATCTTTTCGAATTCTTTCGAATTTCAAGAAATCCCCGCCCAAAGTAGCCCAATCAACCAGGAACACGTGGACACCTACCATCATAGACAATAGTCGGCGACGCCACATGTGCCGCGCACCGCCTGGGGGGCATGGCACACCCGCGAGGAAGAAAAAACAACACCACTTACGGGCGCGCCTCAAAGTCGCGCGCACAACAGGGGGGCATGACACACCAACTTCGAAAACAACACCACTCGCGGGTGCGGCTCAAAGTCGCGCGCACAATAGGGGGGCATGACACACCAACTTCGACCGAGCGCACAAACAAAACAAATGGATAACACCCACGATGCACGAGACACGCGCGCCATTAAAGACGAAGGTCGCGTGAGGACTAGAAGCGCAGAATGAGATGGAATCGCCCAGATCCGAGTCAACCACACGAAGATCAAACAGGCGGCATTCGCGGAATACCCCCTGATGGGGGGCAATTGTTGGGCATGTGACTCGGATCCTTCCCCATTGAAGAAACACCAAGGGTGATCGCGTCAAGGAGAAGCGCGCGAGTACACCGGAGTGAAGCGCGGGAGTCACGCCGGAGTCAAGCGCGCGGGTCGCGCCGGAACTAAGCACGCTGGTGGAGACCACCCCCGGAGGAGCGCGCACAAATACTAAACGACGACGCGTCACCTGGTCGTGGGCCCTTATCGAGAAGCCGCAGAAGCGGCGCTGCGTCACCGTGTCACCTAACGGGTAGTCACCATCATAGTCCTAGGTATAGTCCTGCTTGTGTCAGGAGTAGTCACATCAGTGTCCTAAAAGCGTGGACTAAATCCCTGGCATGTCAGTGGTCATATCATTGTATCCACTTGCAACCCAACCACTCACCCACCACCATGTAGCCTATAAATATGGCATTTACTCCGGTGGGTGAGGGGATCGGATTTTTCAGACTCTATCTCTAAAATCATCAACTTTCTCTCTCAAGAATACGACTCTCCCAATTCTCTTTGTAATCTCCCCAGTTCTAAACGGAAGATTTTCCTCTTTGTTTACTCTCCTTGACCCATTTCCCCTGAGTCTCACTCCTACACCCAGTTAGGCTCAAACACTAACAATTCCTATTAAAAAAATAACTCACAGGTCATACCATTCCAATATATATACGTGTGTTGGGCATGTTCCTTTAATTAAAGAAGAAGCAAAAAAACCACCAAGGCCTAGGCGGCCACTGCCGTCTGCAGAGAGCCAGAGACCCACCACAATTACACTCCTTTATTCCCCAATCTCATCATTTCTCTTTATTCCTCCCGCAGACGCCCAAACACCTAGACATACACGAGTTGCTAGAGTGCTAGTTGAGAGTTGAGACCGAAGTCAGAACGACAGCCTGCAGCAGCTCATAGACATCCCTTCACTGGCGGACGACATCCATTTCTTGTAGCCGCCCAGTTGAGCACTCCTTGTAGCCGACCAAATTAATAAGTAATTTTGTTGTTATGAACCCTAAATTGCAAAATTTGGGGTTTTTTTCTTTTCCCATTTTACCCAAAATTTACTTGTCAATTTGTAATTCATGAATGAATTGAATAGATTTGTTTGTAAGATAATTTATTTTGTACTTTGAATTCAGTTATGGAGAGATTTTTCCCAATGAAAGCAAAAACTACCCCACCTATTAACAACTTACAAGATAAAAAATCGTTGCGGTTCATTGTAAATATGACATTACGAACTTTATGAATAAATTTCTAATATTTCTAATTAATTTTTATTCGAATTTTTCAATTATTATCGTATTCTATCATGAAATAATATTGGACTGTGGAAGAAGAATTCACGTTGAAAAATCATTCCACGGTGTCTATAATTGGTTTCACCTGAAAAAGGTATCATTAATAGTTTCTGGAGCAGCTCCACAACTGTTACAGGTGTTTCTTGGCGAGCATTTTAAAAAAAAGATCATATTCCCTTTACAGTACGCGCGTTTTCTCGCAACATCATATGAAAAACTTAAGGCTTTGTGGCAAAGAAAAATTCCACATCCATTTCGATTCCTTCTCCTTCTGTCTACTACCGAGATGATCATGCTTAGAAGATGAATGGAGCTCATGATAGTATGATTTAACATAAAAATCTAAATTCTTTTTAAAATTCCACACCCACCTACCTTCAAAGCTTTGTGGTTCCAATGTATAACAATACCCACTTTGGATAAAGCTTTAGGATATACCTTTATTGCTGCATGAAGCCATGAACAATGGCACCCAAGCACTGGCCCAAAACAAAAAATAAAACACACAAAAGAAGCATTGACAAAAAGCCCAATAGGTTGTTGGATTGGATCAAGGAAGCGACGGCCGGATTACATCCCAAGCTCGCTTCTCGCCATTCCAGCGATAGAAGCTGGTCTCATTAGCCATCACCCGGACATCGCCAGCAGCAGTACGAGAACTGTAGATGCAATACGGCGCCGCATCCATCCCGTAGAACTTGGTGTAGGTCCCCGTGCAAATATATGGCAGCTGCTGGCCGCCCTTCCAGGCACCACCGCTGGCAACCTGGATCTGAAGGACCTTCTTCGGCGGGATTTTTTGGCCCTTCTCTCGCTTCACACCATCGGAGCACCAGATGTAGAGGTAGTTCTCCGGCAAGATCCTCTGGTTGCTGACTTCCAGGGTAACCGCTCCGCCGCCGCACTCTGCCCATACCGCCACCGTCAGGAATACAGCTGCGGCGGCCATGGCCGTGGATGAGAGCCGCCTAAGTGGATCAGCCGTCATCATAATTTAACAATTAATAAATCTCTAAATATGTTTAGTGTGGCAGCAGAAGCGCATTATTAGCTGACTGGTTTTCGAACCCCTTATAAATTTGTGGAGGCCGGCCGGAAGGTTGAGAGGTGGAGGGGGCATTTGATAGATTGCATAGGTTTCATCTTTACGAGCTCGATCGGCCTGGAGTGGATAGACGTCAGTTCAATTTATTCATTTTGTTTTAGAAGAAACGCAACAAAGACGAGGAATTTTACAATGCTATATAGTATTGGTGCTATAGATTTTTGCCTTTATGGTATAACTTGAAATTGTACCTTTAACGTTATGGTACAACTTCAAACTGTACATATACTTTTTGTACAAATTATTTTATGATACACCTTGAACTTGTACATTTATGTGATGGTACAACTTCAAGTTGTGAAGTTGTACCATAACATAATTGTACAAATTCCTTTATGGTGCAACCTGAATTTATACATTTAACGTTATGGTACAACTTCAAGTTGTACATTAAAGCACCAATACTATATAGCATAGTAGAAGTGCTCAACAAAGACATCCGGCGGTGAAAAACGGGAATATCGCTGATCAAAAGCAGATGATGACAAATTCCGGGAGTGACTGTCGTACGGAACTCACCATCTAATTATTGTGTTGTCTTGGACTTGATAGTCCGTCCACCAGAAATCCTTTTCACGCCAACCCTTTTCATGCTAGTATTATTATGTAAGTTGAATTTCTAATGAGTGAGTGTGTAAGCAGATGGGATGAGATACATAATTGAAACTCTTGCAAGTCGCAACAACTTGAGTTATAGATACTAAATGATTTTTATAAAGAAGACCATTCGAAAATAGATGACTAACTAAATCATGGATAATTGTTTGGTATACAGAGAGTGCATAGGCGGAGCCAGCCTATATTGTCCTTGTCCCGGGACATGGGTAATGTATGGTTGGTAAAAAATACCCCACATATATGTGTACCCAACATCTACAAGTAATATAAGGATATCTTGTCATTACATCATAGCTCATTACTTGTTTAATAATTGATAAAAAATAATTAATTATTTGTTCCATTCATAATAATTATTCGACAATAGCTTGTTGGGTATTATCAAGATGTTATGAGATTTCATTAATTGAAAGAAATTGATGAATTATCTCGAATAATGATGGAGACAAAAGTACGTAAGTCATATCTGTCAGTTTATTTGCTTCTGAAACTAGTTTTGATTCTACCCATTGCAATGGTAAGTGTAGAAATAACATTTTTAGCTTGAACTATACTAATTCAAGTTTCGAAGTCGAATTCACGATCGGTTTGCTAATGATTTTTTAATAGGATACATTGAAAGAGGCTTACTTAAGAGTATGGACAATGAATGTATTTTAATTTACCAAAAAAATTCAATTATAAGATTATATCATGAATAATAATAATAATAATAATAAAAGTTAACAAAAGCTATTTTATCATGTATGTTTTTTTCGAAGTGGATCCGCCTTAGATGAAAATCCTGGTTACGCTCCTAGTGTTTTTAATCGTGCTCTTCAAAATAATATTCACTTTGATATTATTTTTTAACAAAAAATTAAGGCATATATTACTCGTTTGTACCACGGTGATAATGTTTGGTAGCACATAACATTATATACATTATACCATGATGGTATGAAAGTGTATCATGGTGGTATGGATATATATATGTATGGGGAGTTCTACAGTACTCAGGGTGAAATCCGGGGTACCGCATACCTTGAGTAAGAAAATGCTATCCAAAACTTGAATTGACTGATGTTTCAGACATGATAATATACTCTTACCCTTAAAGATCAAAATCTAGGTCTTATTTCTCTAAATCTTACACCCAAAGATCAATTTAATTAGAAAAAATAATCGACGGTTATGATTCGTCCAAATATAGACAAAAAAAATAATGCACCATCTTAGGGTTTATAGTTTATGATTTATACAATTAGGACCTAGGGTTCACTCATTAAGGGTTAGGGTATAGTATATCATGCCCAAAAATCCTGCTAATTCGAGGTCTAGATAGTGTTTTCATACTCAAGGTATGCGGTATGGTAAGAAAGCGTACCATGATGGTATGAACAGACCAATATGGTAAGAAAGTTGAATACATGATAGTAGCTGTATATTAATTGTCATTTACGACTTTCATCATTGTTTACTACAAGTTACCACAAGTATGGTAATTTTTGATCCAGTATTTTTTCACCCAGAAATTTATAGATCCAATAGATCATGATGAACTCGTTCCTTCTGAGCAAACGTTTTCAAAAACGACTTAAAAACGAAGAAGTTACCATAAGGTATATAGTTGGTAGAAAAAAAGTTTCCCGAAATATATTAAAAATTGATCTCATTTTGTAGAGCACAACGAACTCGTTCCATCTGTGCAAAAAAGATTGAAATCCGAGTTAGAACGAAGAAGATAAGAGCCAATTAAGAAAACTAGAGAAAATAAAATGTCTTTAATTGACAACCCTTAGATTTGAATTTTATGGACCCACTTAAATTTAAAAGTCCAGATTTAGTTACTCATAGGTTAATTAGTAACCATTGGTTACTGACCCTATCCTAAGCACATTTTTTGAAGATTTCCCTTGTGGTGCTTTTTTTTTCTTTCTTATTAATTTAATTGATCATCATTATGAAAACAAATAGTGTTGAACTGATTTTGATTGGAATGTGAGGCTGGCTAGCTGATAATATGCGTACTCTCTGCATCTTGTAGGCATGCAGTCTCGGATTTTATACCTGGTGTCATTATTCTCTTCTAACTTTTTTGAGTTCTTCTTTTGTCCTACATCAACTTGAACGAAGGACGAAGCTGGAGAAGTTGAAATGGTAGCAAGAAAACCAACCATAAGCCCAAGCAGAAATGAAAAATACCAAAAGCCCCATCATCGAGTGAAGCATAAGTGGAAGCACTAGCAGACCTCTTTTGCAAGCGTCTCCTAAAATTCAGCACTCCTTTGCATCTTTTTGAACTGGTAAGCCTTTTTGTTCAGTCCTTTGTTATTTGAAATTAGGGCGCTCGATTTTGATTTCAGCCTATGCCAATGTCCGACCTTAGCTAGGGATGACAAAAATATCCATAACCGTGGATACCCGTCCGAATCCGGCCTAATCGGGTAGGGTAGAACCCGAACCTGAAGGATATTTAGTGGGTATGGGTAAAATTCGAACCCGAATATTGCTGGTAATGGGTGGGCATAGGTTTCTCACTATCCAACCCGAACACGCCCGATTATACACATGCATATGTATTCTGTCTAGAAATAATCATTTTTTTCTCTAACATATTTTATATTTAGCATATAAATATAATATTTTCATGAAATTGTGTTGTTTTAATTAATTTTCTTCATTCTAGTGAATTATTGTCGTATTTTTCTTCTTACGTAATGTGAGAATACGTGTGAATGTTAACATATTGGTTATAGTTATGAAGAAAAATCATTACCCATGGATAACCGCGGATACCCGAAACCCGAACGGGTATGGGCATGGTTTTAAATTTCTACCTACCCGTTTCACATGTGGGTATGGGTAAAACCCGAACTACTTTGGGTAGGGTAATGGATATGCACTATCCGTCCCCGACCCGACTCATTGCCATCCCTAATCTTAGCCCATGTAATTTATGTCGGTGACTTGATAAGGATGAATCAAGCTTTTTGTAGTTATTAAGCCAACTGAATGTTGTAATAATTAGTAGGGGAAGCGAAGAGAAATGGCAGTGAGGACTCATGGGTGGTAGTTAAGCCAATGTGGTGACATACTTACTGATGACAGTAATGGAATTTTATCCATTTCAGGTAAATTTGTTTCCCCGAGATCAAGAAGGCTTCATCGTATAGTCGGAATGGATTTGCAGGTTGATATGAACGATCTCATAAGTACTTATATGAATATGTATTACCTTTATTTTACTGAGTTCAAGCATGTAACGCTTGAATTTCCTCTACACTACTAATAGCTAGAATGTAGGAGTATTATTTAGAACTCTATGGATTGTATATTAACCACACAAGAGCCTTATGGGATGGTATATGTAATTCTTGACTGCATTTTGCGGGCACAGCTTTAAATGGTTGTTCTTTTCATTTCTTTTGTTATGGTTTCTGGCGTAAGTAGAAGCATTTTGTGACGACTTGTATTCTTCTTCAGCTGGCACTTTTGACCACCGTAGGCAGTGCCTTACCACCGTTACGGTTGCTAATTCCAAACCAAGGTCCGACCCAGCCGGTTCTGGTGGGTCTAAACAACTATTAGCCATAGTTTACGGTAGCCATTACTTTTATCCACCGTATCAAAAAACCGTAGTTAATAGCTATTATTAACCACCGTAGTTTATCCATTCGTGAGTTGTCGTCGTCCAGCCTTTCAAACTCACATAGAGGCGTCAAGAACTTCAAACTGGTTTACAACGGCCGGAATAATGAATTGGAGCGTGCACGCCTGAATTAAGATAAAGTCGTGTTTGGAAACTAAATTTGCGAGCACACGCTTCAATGATTTTCTAACCACAATATATTTGTATTGAAAAGGAGGCAAGAATTGAACCATGTGTACGGATTGATAAAAAAGCGAAGCATGTGTATGGATTCATCATCTTTCTGTTTGGCCTTAGAAACATAGGCTAAAATCAATGTTATCAGACACTACAAGAAAACCTATCTATAACAACAGATGAAATTTGCCTCTAGATGTCATTTATTTGTCTCTATACATCTTTAGAGGCACATAAAATATTTGTCTCAAATACTCTATTGGCTACAGCTCTATAGAGGCAGATATAGCTACATATATTACTTGTCGTTAGGAATGGCAATGGGGCAGGTCCGGGGCGGGTTTCTTGGTACCCAGACCCGCCCCGTGGCAGGTCGGGTCCAGGTCGGGTAATTGATCACGGGTCGCGGGTTGGGGCAGGTCGACCCAATGGGTATGCAATTTATATGAAAAACATTAGAAATATTCGTTATTTTTATTATAAGACTAAGAAAACAAACAATATTATGACAATTGTAGTTAAATTATTGGAGAAATTGAAGTTGTTACTAATTTACAACTTTATTATAGCTAAAATATGATGCAATAAAAGGAAAATTCTAAGTAATTTGACTAAGATTACATGTAATTTAGACAAGAACGGGTCGAGAATGGGGCGGGTCAGGGCAGGTCGGGTCGATGAGACTACCCATGCCCGCCCCGACGGGCCGGGTCGGACCCGCCCCAAAACAGGTCAAACAGGTCGGGTAAAACGGGTCAGGTCGAAATTGCCATCCCTACTTGTCGTTGATTAGTGATACTGGAATTCATGTATTAGCCGCTAAAACCACTTTTTTCTACACTTCATGTTTAGATTTAAAGGCACAAATATTTGCCTCTAAAAGCATATTAAAAATGGCTTTATTTTTAGCTTCTTTTTTATATTTAAATACATTAATACTAAAATCTTGAAATTAATAATTGTAAATGAAAACCCATGAAATATGTATAGTATATATGCCCAGAATGAGATACATTACAATACTTTTCAGTTTATTATAAAATACAATTACAGTATACATTCACTCAGCCAACAATAGCAAGTTGTTGACTCCGCCATTTATTTAAAAAAAAAAATTTAATGCCTCTGCCGCCGGGAGAACCGACGAGTTCATCACCAATCTTCGACCATTCCGTATCTGCCCTCTGCCCCTCCGCAATGTTCTCTATCGATAGGTATAAGCAGTTGTGGATCTTGCACGCCAGTCACTACAGACTATTTTGGTTGTAGTGAGAATCGGACCGAATGTTGAATCCAAAAAGTTAGTAATTGATGGTTTAATGGTTTAACTGTTATAGAACCGTTGGTTAACTTTTGACAGAACCATTCATGCACTACTCTAATTTAGGAGTGAAACAATCACTGACTATAAACAAGTTCAAATTCATATAATCTATCACGAAATTCAAACTATCTCCCAAGTGAAATCATATTTTTTATATTTAATTCAAGTTAGCAACCAGGGTGGCAATCTGTAGTGGACAACATAAATCTGATAAGAAGGCTGGGAAATGAAGTAAAGGGAAGTATAAATAAAATTAGTGCTTGAGGTTGGATGATCTTAGCTTATGTTAAAGTAGTTTTTTCTTAATTTTTGGTGGTCAAAATTGTGCACCCATCAAATCTGGGTGGTTCATCTGGTTTCGTTTCAAACTGTCATAAATCATTGGGTCTATTGTTAACTGTTTAATCAAATGAATCGAAACAGTAGTTCTACTCGTACAACCGTTGATTGGTTGGGTTGTTATACGAATGGCTGAAATCTTTTTAACCTTGAAATAATAATAATAATAATAATAATAATAATAATAATAATGAAAAAGAAGGCAAATTCATCCAGCAATTAATTACAAGTAGCCACCTTTGGGCACCCTTAACGATCGGATCATCACCAGAGCCGAAGCATGGGAGGTAAATCGTTTACGTACCTCGCTCACTCTCTCTCCTTTCTTTCTCCAAACAATGAATTAACGATGAACCCATAAAATTAAAAAAAAAAAAAGGAGAAAACTAAAAGGGTTCTCTTCTCCATCGCCTCTCTCTTCTCTCTCTCTAGTGCAATGGCAGCCGCAGGGGGCAAGAAAGAACGGCGACCGTCGTCGCTGTCGTCGACGGGAATGGCGCTGGACAGCGTGGAGATCGACAAGATGGCTGACGTGCCAATCAACGACACACCGCCGAGCAAGCCACACCTGCCCAGAATGTCGGTGGACCTCGGCAAGTCCTCCGCCGGTGGGTTGGGGCGCACGGCAAGCAATTTCGGGCAGTCGTTTCGGAGGACCACCAGCAACTTCGGCAACTTCGGGATGTCTTTCCGGCGGACCACCAGCAGCGCGCTCAAGGGGATCCTGCCCGGCGGGGGCAAGACGAGCACCGCCGCCGGGAGGCAGCAGCGGGTGCAGAGGACGGCGTCGTCCGCCGCCAGGGGGCTGCAGTCCCTCAGGTTTCTTGACCGGACGACAACCGGCAGGGAGACGGATGCTTGGCGGGCGATCGAGAGGCGCTTTGATCAGTACGCCGTCGACGGCTTGCTGGCGAAGGAGCACTTCGCCGTCTGCATTGGTACTCGATCATCCGTATATATCATTCCTTTTTTTTTTTTTTGAACTTTTATCTTTTACGTAACGTGGATTGACATGATTGGTTGCAGGAATGGCGGATTCGACGGAATTCGCGTCGGAGTTGTTCGAGGCGATTGCGAGGCGGAAGTTCATACCGACGGCCAATGGTATAACGAAAGATCAATTGAAGGTGTTTTGGGAAGACATGACCAAACAAGACCTTGATGCTCGTCTCCAGATTTTCTTCGACATGTATACTATCTTATTATCTTACCATTGGAACCATGAAATTAATTGAAACAGTTATTAACGAAAACCTAGCAGCTGCATGCATGCATGCATGCACCTCAAATGTTTCCAATTTATTATCGTTATCAAACTTATTTTGTTAAACTATGTATTGATACGAGTTTTTAACAATTTCATCGTATTTCTTAACGTTTTAAGTTTGCATTCTCATGTTATCGAATTCCTTTTCCAATATATATTCTCTTTTTTAATTTGAGCAGCGTTTCAAGTAAACACTGATTATGCGTTCTGTTGTAGACGTTTGAAACTATAATCCCACCCATCCATTACGATCATTTCTCTCCCTCCACCCTACACCTTTCATTGAGATTATTCTTACTATTATAATAATGTTTTGATAATGAGTATTCTTGGTCGTCTCACTTGTTTTAATTACTTTGCATTCCTTTTCAGGTGTGACAAGAACGGGGATGGTAAACTTTCTGAAAATGAAGTTAAAGAGGTGAGAAGAAACTAAGTGAAGAGATCAAATAAAAAAACTTATCATCCAAATGAGAATACTACATTGTTAACATGATATTTATTTATTAGGGCTAATTCCACTGGGAAGTGCAAACTATCTAAAAAGTGTCACTTGTGTTCTAAACTATTCAATATGACAAATCTAGCACAAAATATATGTGTTTTGTTACATTTGTGTCCTAAACTATTCGATATGACAAATCTGACCCAAACCAGATAAAAGCTGACTACATTTAATGTGATCTACCAATGTCGGTCAACATTAAAAAAAAAAAATCATCAGGTCATCCTCATGAGCGCATCGGCCAACAAGTTGACCAACCTAAAGGAGAACGCGGCCAAGTACGCAGCCCTAATCATGGACGAGATGGACCCGGACCACAAGGGCTACATCGAGATCTGGCAGCTGGAGGCCCTCCTCTGCGGGATGGTGAACCAAGACGCATCCGCGGAGGCTAGCACCAAGATGAACCGCCACGCCAAGTCCCTGGCCCGGGCCATGATCCCCAGCCGCTACCGCTCCCCGGTGGGACGCTTCTTCACCCACGCAGCCGAGTACGTCCACGAGAACTGGAAGATCATCTGGATCCTGGCCCTGTGGGCCGCAGTCAACGCCTACCTCTTCCAGTGGAAGTTCTTCGCCTTCGTCGGGACACCGCTCTTCCAGATCTCCGGCTACTGCCTCTGCATCGCCAAGGCCACCGCCGAGACCATCAAGTTCAACATGGCACTCATCCTCGTCCCGGTCTGCCGCCGGACCCTGACCTCCCTCCGGTCCACGGTACTGGGCAGGGTCATCCCGTTCGACGACAACATCAACTTCCACAAGGTCATCTCCGTGGCCGTGGCCGTCGCGTCCCTGGCCCACACGGTGGCCCACGTGGCGTGCAACTACCCGCTCCTGGCGTCGTGCCCGAGGGCCAGGTTCGAGTCCCTGGTGGGGAGCGCGTTCGGGCACCGGCAGCCCACGTACGGAGCGCTGATGGAGCATTCCATAAGCGTGACTGGGGTGCTGATGGATTTGATCATGGCATTCTCCTTCACCCTGGCGACGCACTCGTTTAGGAGGAACGTGGTGAAGCTCCCCGGGATGTTTCACAACTTGGCCGGATTCAATGCGTTTTGGTACGCTCACCATTTGCTTGCCGTCGCCTATGTTTTGCTCTTCTTGCATGGTTGGTTCTTGCTCACCGACAAGCCTTGGTACCAGAAGACGGTACGTAACCAGTAATGATTTAAGACCTTAATTCCCTGTTTACGACGTTAGGAGAGCAAATTGGGTATGAAAAATAAATATAGTAATTAATTTTTTTAATTAAATTACACTTTTGGAAGTTACAAATAAAACATAATCAATTACAATTTTCTCTCTCTTTCTCTCACTTCTGCAATCTCCAGCTATATCTCTCATCCAACTTTTTCTCAACCTTTTTCTTGTTTCCGTTCAGTCAAAATAATACCACTACAAAAATAAAACTAAAAAGATCAATATCAATACATTTGACAACCACTACCACTTTGAAAAACACCAATACCATTACAGAATTAAATTAATACTATTATGAAATATAATACCATTACACTAAAACTACCGATATAAACAATCTATGTTATTACAATGGTCAAAATTAATACCAAAATCAACCAGTACCACTACTATCATGAAATCAAAACAATGTCATTTCATAAAACAAAACAATGAACCATACCAAAACAAACAAATAATCAAACAAAAATAGATCTGAAATCCGCTTGAAGGTTGTCGGCTCCTCATCGTTGGGTAGTGAGAAAGAGGAGGGAAAGAGAGAAGGGGAGAGGGGAGAAGGGCATGTTGGGGAGGGGAGGGGAGGGGAGGGGTGGAGAGGCGGCGGTGGAGTGGAGTGGGGAGAGTAGGAGGAGGGAAGAGATGGGTTACTCTTCATGCAGGGGAGGATGACCGGCGGGAGGCACAAGGGGAGGAGAGGGAGGGCGACAGTTTCTTGCTGGGGAAACAGGAAGATGGATGAGTTTTAGGGTTTGGGGAGAGGAAGTAGATAGTAAGCTATAAATTTAGGTAATAATTTGATGTGTTAATGTTTTTATTTCAAAATAATCCTTAATCTAATCTTATCATTCCTTAAAAAAAGGAAAAATAGAGCTAATTAAGGGTGAGCCAGCGTGATTACTCAAAATTGTGTATCCACGCTAACCCATTCCTTATATATAGGGGTAGTTTGGGTAGGAATTTGGATGTAGGATTTTCACCGTAATTCCACATAATGTGAGATTGTGACAAAATAACACATTTGGATGGACGCGTGATTTTGTGTCCATGTGAGGAATTTTGAAATCCCTCGGTTCTGGGTTTTTGAATTCCATTTTTGAATATCTGCAGCCTCAAATTTTTAGAAATTTCTCATTTCGTTTTTATTTCTTCCAAATCTAACCCAGTCATTTTTTTACAACCAAAATTACCCTCATCACCAAGTTGTTTATTATGCTTGTCCTACTTCCAAATTAGTGTCTTATTAATAACTTTATATATCACAATCTTTTGAATGGTTTTCTCTTACACATGGATGCAGACATGGATGTATATTGGTGGTCCAGTAACCCTGTATGCTTTAGAAAGAGTGTTTTTGTCCTACAGAGAGCGCACAGAACCGGTCAACATAATTAAGGTCGATCTATATATATGAATATCTACTCTAAAACATACCTCTAACATTTGATTAATAAGTTAATTACTTGCTAATATTTTTGACATTTGCTTAATTACAGGCAGTTATATACTCGGGAAATGTTCTGGCATTGTACATGACAAAACCCATGGGTTTCAAGTACAAGAGTGGAATGTACATCTTCGTCAAGTGCCCCAACATCTCCAGCTTCGAATGGTACAACCAACGTGTCTTTTTCACCTGTACTTAGATATAAATATTCAAAAAAACTGGCAAAGACTGTTGTTTCTGATTGATTTCTACGTTGCAAATGAGACTATATATGTGCAGGCACCCATTCTCAATAACATCAGCACCGGATGACGATTACCTAAGCGTCCACATAAGAACCCTAGGCGACTGGACGAGGGAGATGAAGAGCATATTCGCCAAAGTTTGTGAACCTCCACAGCAAGCCAAACCTAGAGCAATGAACTTGATGAGAATGGAGACCAGAACTGTGTCCGACTCCAACTACGAGGAAATACAAAAGACGTACGTAGGTTTAAACTACCAAACTGATGCTCCCTAAAATTGTTAAAGTCGTAAGAGAGAAAAACAAGTAAATGAAAGTTGTTTTTGTTTGGTGGGTATAGGTTCCCGACGATCCTAGTGAAAGGACCATTCGGGGCCCCGGCCCAAAACTACAAGAAGTTCGACATATTGCTGCTGGTAGGGTTAGGGATTGGCGCCACTCCTTTTATCAGCATCATAAAGGATCTTCTCAACGCGCTTAGACCGATGAGGCCAGTAAGTTATTGAACTAATGATCAAGTAGCAACTCTATTTTGTGGTAATAAATATTGTTGCTATTGTATATGCATGGTTGCATGCAATGAAGTCAAAATCGCGTTTTAAAACTTAACAGCTTACGATTTTAATTTAAATGGTCACCAAAACGCTTCTACGTAGGATCGTGTTTTTCCCTTATAAGTGTAGTCAAAATCTACTCTTTAAACGCTTTCGGTTTTACGTTTCTGGGTAGAATCACGCTTTTTTACTGCATTGGCGTTGTATGTACGCAGGGACAATTCTCAGTGGAGCAAGCATCCAGGAAATGCCCAGAGAGAGCCTACTTCTATTGGGTGACCAGAGAACAGGCGTCGTTTGAATGGTTCAAGGGTGTCATGGACGACATTGCAGAGTACGATCGCAATGTGGGTTTTTTCCAAACTTTACCCTCTCCTTAATTTAACTCCTCAGTAGTACCAAATATGGATTGAGTTACTACTACTACGTTGTTTTGTGATTTGAAAAGCTTAACAACTAAAATCCAACAGCTGAGCAAGTGATAATAATGCATGCAGCATATAATTGAGATGCACAATTACTTAACCAGCGTGTACGAGGAAGGCGACGCCAGGTCGGCACTGATCGCCATGGTCCAGAAGCTTCAGCATGCCAAGAACGGTGTTGATATTGTCTCCCAGAGTCGAGTACGTACCTTCTTTTTTTTTTCTTTGCCCATAGGAAGTGTCAATTTAATCTAGCTATATTAATATGGACTGAGCTTGTTTGTATGGCTACGTACAGATAAGAACACATTTTTCAAGACCTAACTGGAAAAGGGTTTTCTCGGAGTTGGAGAAGGCACATCCATCTTCTCATATAGGTATTGTACTTAACAGTCTTTGTTTTGTTCTTGGATCTAGGGTTTTGGGTGTCTTTTCTTTCTTTCTTTCTTTCTTCCTTCTTAAGTTTGCGTTGTTAATTCAAAATGCAGGGGTGTTCTATTGCGGGAGTGTCGCCCTGGTGAAGACATTGAGGGAGCTTTGCCAGGACTTCAGCCTGAATTCAACGACCCGCTTCCATTTCCATAAGGAGAACTTTTGAAGAACAAGACATATATAGTAAAGTGGTCTGTGGATGAGAGTTCTTCATGTAATTCACTGTGGTAAAATAGACACTTCTAATTAGTAATATTTTGTTTATCTAGAGGGAATTTAGAAGAAAAAAAATTGGGCTAAGTTTAGAGGGTCTGATTGTGAATGTTGTATATTCAATAGGGATAGTCATTTGGTACTTAAGTGAAGAACAAGATAAAAGGATGATTTCTTTGTTCTAGGAATTAGGATATGAATCTTTCTGTTAAATAAAAAATATTTTATTAAGTTCATACCTGCCCCATAAAACAAGGGTGCCTCTCACACTAACCATCAAAGGAAAAGTAAAGTGCTTTTGTTAAAGATACATAGAACTCACAATGCTAACATCTGTAAACTATCCACTAACACTATCACTACCCAGACCTCAGGTTTCGAAAGCTTCTTCGTGTTGGAATTTTTAATGGTGTGAATGGGAATAAAAGGGAAAGGAGCCAAGAGAAGCTCTGAAAGTACCACATTAGTAAGATGTGGGTAGGCGCCACCTAAATTCAATAAATTAGATTTAATATGTTGGTAGTCAGTTAAATGAATTTGTAAAACCAATCTGACCATGTTGAACCGATTTGAACCTAATCAAACCAAAATAATGTTGGGTTGGAATAACCCAATCAGTACAACTATTATGATCTGAACCGATGCAATGGTTGGGAGTATAACCATCCACACAAAGAATCGCATACATACCCATTTATTTTCTAAAAATAGCCTCAAACCCCTTTGGGTTTCATATACGATTTTTCTTATTGAAACTCTGCCACAATTCCAATTGATTTTTTCTTAGTTTTGAGTGTGTGTTCTTTTTTTTCATTTAATTTCTTGGTTGGTTCCTAAGGAAAGGAAAATGGCAGGCGATGGGCACGAAACATTGTATTGCTTTGAAAATATTATTAGCCCACGCTCCCTTTGTACATTTCGATAAGCACTTGTTTGCCTTTTGGGTTTTTCCAAAACGGTCCTCCGACAACTATCTTAAAGGGTTTTTGGACTGTTCGAAGAAGGCTCTTTCATCTAAACTCAACTCTCTTCTCAGCACAAGAAAAATTGGGGTAGTCTTTTTTACTTCAAAAATTGAAGCAACAAAGGCAAAATAGGATGGTTTTTGGGCTGTTCGAAGAAGGCTCTTTCATCTCCGCCTTCTGTTGCTACTACCAGCCTCTCTTCCCTTCCTGCTACATCATCTGGATGTTTGGTGATTTTTTACCTTTCTATGATTCTGTTGGCTTGTTTGGAGCTCTACGTTTTGTGTTGCTATGCTTTGCTTATACTCTGCTCCTGATCGATTTATGCATTTAGTTTCAGATTGGACTGTTTTTGCTTATTCCTGTTACATATATGTGCCTGATTTTGCTTCCATTGGTGTTCTTTATGCATAATTGCATAGTAGTCTTTAGAAATTATTAGGAATTTATGTTGGGTATTCTCTTGCAGCTCCTCCTTCCTTCCCTACTCCTGAACCCAATTGCTAGGGATGGCAATTACCCACCCATGGGTAATTATACCCAAACCCAAGTAGACCCATTGATAATGGGTTGGGTATGGGTGAAGTGCATATGGATTTGAGGAGTTTGTAGATGGGTTTGGGTAAAGTATGAATATTGCTTCCATAATCTACATGGGTTAGATATGAATATCCACTTACTTGATGGTGTTTTAACTACACATGCAAAAATTGGACCTATTTGTAAAACTTGAAAAATTTAGGTACCAAAATGTAAGACCAAAAAAATTTAGGTACCAAAACGTAATTTTCCATCGATATTTTGAGGACTTATATGCAAAAAAATTAAATTTAGGTACTAAATATTCATATCTATTAAGTTTAGGTACCAAATTATAATTTGTATTTGGGCATGGGTACAAACCCAAATACATTTGTTATAAACCCAACCCAACTCAAAGTAAATGGGTGTGGGTACAAAACCATCAAACTCTACTCATATCCATCTATTTGGATTTCAAACCCAACCCAATTGAATTGGATAGTAAAAAACTCATAGGTATGGGCAAAATTGTCATCCCTACCAATTGCCGGCAGTTCTGGCCTCCGGCATCTACCTACGTCCAGCGATTACCCCTTGTCTTCTTTGTTTTTGTCCAACTGACATGTGGCGTAGAGCTAACTTTCTCGGATAAGGCCGAGTTCCGCGTGCCAGCAGCAGCGGTGCGGTGGCGGGTTGGATAAGAATATTATCCTTTATAGCATTGTTAGTTAATATGCCCTTGTTGTGTCTTTAATTGCCACGTCTCTTTTGTGACTACGCTTTTTTGGTGAATTTTATTTTATTGGACTAGTAAAGCATTGGCTCTTTTGCTGTTGACTTTTGTCCGTTGCTCCTTTTTGTTTGTTATTTACAGGGCCAAGAAAGGTTTGTGCGTACGGATCCAGATGCATCCCCATTCCTATTGTGATAAAGCTGCTTGTCTCTTTATTCTTAGGAACTAATAGAGCTGCCATTTTGTGGCCTAAACGGCTTTTTCATTGCATGTTTGATTAGTATCGACTGACGTTATTTTTACCCATTGTAATCATATTTGTCTACTATTTCATCTGACTATGATATAAAAAAAAAACATTGTATTGCTTCCTAATGAGTGTGCTTTGTCCTTATCTTGGTGGTTCAGTGGTTCTATCATATGTTGGGTAAAATTAAAGGTATGACATATTTTTTGTAAGAAAATTATATATAAATCTTGAATTGACCGGAGTTTGGCATCTGTTATTATTTTCAAACCCATAAAGATTAAAATATAGATCTTAATTATATAAATCTTATACACTAAGATTAAATTGATTAGAAACAAAAATCAACGGTTATGATTCATCAAAATATAGGGTTAATTGCAAGGTTGGTCACTGAGATTACTAAAAATGTTCATGTTTAGTCACTAAAAATATTTAATTTCATTCGTGGTCACTAAAATTAGTAAAACATTTCAAGTTCGGTCACTCTCCGTCCAACTCCGTTAACTTTAGCTAATGTGGCAGTCAACTCTCAAAGTTGACCGTTAATTGTGTGACGTGGCACTTAAAAATAATAAAAGATTAAAACTTTATATTTTAAATATTCCACCTAATTATTATCATCACTAAAAAAAATCTCACCAAAAATTAAAAAATAAAAATCCTTAGCCATTGGATCTAGCCCGAACCCGTAGCTGTCGAAATAGTGTGCTCCGGCAGTGCTTTTCCTAACTGGTGGCATCGTGATTTCCCTAGATTTGCCGGTTGCTGGGTTCCATAGACGCACTTCCGACTTGCCATTGGACATCAGAAATACGTCGTTGAAATTGTGTCATTCCAACTTTTACAGACGGACTTGAGCTGTAACAGATCTCTAGCGTTGAAATTGTTGAGGGTGGAAATATTCTTTACGGAAAGTGAACGTAGTTCACGACTCTATCATAATCCAGGTCACCCGGTCTCGGGCTATCCTACGTGTACCCTCGCGATAAAAGACCCAACAATCGTAAAGAATAATTTCCGGTACAATGGCTCGAAATGCTCTTTACAAGAAACTGGTTCCGGTCTATGGAATTATGAGAATTTTCGATGATGGGTATTTCATCGATGGCGGTAGAAGATGGGTGTTCTTCGTACTAGTCTCATGGTGTATTCCATATCCGGAAGGTAACTTGGAAGAGAGATGATTCAAAGATGAGGAAGAAGGAGAATGATTTGTAAAATGGAGAAATAGAAGAATGAAAATTGCCTTTGGGTAGGTCGCATACTCAAGGTTAATTTGTCTAATTCTCTATTCGACGTTTACGAAGTGCTAGACAAATATGAATTTGTCTAGTGGTTTGATGGTGTGGTTTTGTCTAAGTGGTTTATGTTAAACCAAGGAGACAAAATTGTATCTACAATGTTTGATGATTCTGGTAATAGAGTCGTTGTGTTTGTATATAGATGACATATTTATCTTTGGGACCAATCAAAGATAAGTGATTTTGTCTAGTGGTTTATGTTATTTTAAACCAAAGAAACAAAATGTGTACACAATTTATGATGATTCTGGTAATGGAGTCATCGTACATTCATATGTATAAGACATGCTTATCTTTGGAAATTAAACAATAAAAGATAAGTGAACTTTGATAAAATGTTGTTATTTAAATTCTCCATGTGGGACATGGGGGAGGCAAATGTGATTCTGTGTATTGAATCAAGCTGAACGACAAGAAAGAGTCCTTCTCTCAATTTTTCTGCATGAGAAGGTACATGCATCATTCCATAGTAGGAATTGTAGTGAGTTAAAGAACCCAATGGATCCAAGTATGGAACTTATGGTTAATACTGGAAATTAGTTTTATAACTAGAATATTCCATGTCAAATTGGGGGTTCCATGTATGCATGACTTACATGATGCCAGATATCGCATATCTGATAGAACAATTAAGTTGGTACGTGATGAATCCTAGTTCTCATCATTTGATATGAAATGAGGCGTGTACTAGGATATGTCAAAGGCATATTGTCTTAACTTATAGTGGCTTTCCATCAATTTTGGAAGGATTTGTTGATGTTAGTTTGATTTCTCATGTTAAAGGTGATACCTCAACATTGAGATGAGTCCTCTTGCTTAGGAGAGGTGCCATAATTTGGGCCTCTAGAAAGCAAACTTGCATCACTAAGTTTCACTATGGAATCAAAGTTTGTGTGGCCTTGATTTCTCTTAGAGAAGAGACATAATTGTTGAGAGGTTTGATTTATGACATATATTTATGGCCTAAACCAATCTCACCTATTACTATCTTTTGTGATAGTAATGCTAATTTGGCTAAGGCATATAGTCAAGTGAAAATGATAAGTACGGTCATGTGGGAGTATGGCACGGTAAAAGCTGTGAACTGATCATTCATAGTGTTGTGTCTAGACAATATGACCAAACTCGAATTAATTTGGTTGATCATTTGACGAAGTGGTTAACTAGTGACTTGGTGATTAAGTCTGTAAAAGGGATGGGTTAAAGTCCATATAATTTCGGGTAATGGGACACCCAATTCCCCTCTAATACAACGTTAGAGGCTGAATTCAATGTGGAAAGCTTATTATCAGAAATTGAAGCACACAATTTATCATCCCGAGGTATGTGCTTGTTATCTTGCATGAGAGAAGAGGATGAAGTTCAAAACTTCTTAATTGAATCTTTGAAAAATGTATTATGCGGGTACACGAATAGAGATTCAACCTACGTAAGCATGAAGTGTAGCCGCTTCAAGAAACCCGGACTTTGGTTTCGTGTGCGCTTATGAGAAGGATTGGACACATGGCGGATAATAGTGTCAAGGCGCTTAGAAGTTTTGAAAACTTAAGTGTATTTTATCTTCGAATATTCATATGAGTCAATGGGTTCAATCGTTACCGACACCCTTTGTATTCGAGTATTCGTCAAGTGTAATATACTAAGGTGAAAATTCAATCGTCACGACATTTTCATTTAAGCTTAAGTTTTTGTTGGAAGAATGTTTTAATTTTAGTGAATTCTTTGAATACACTAAAATGGGGGAGGATTGTTGGAGATATGATTTGATAATTTACGGTTGCATGAATAATGGCTAAATTACACGTTTGGTCACTCAAATTACATAAATCTTTCACGTTTGCCATCCGAATTACTTTTCTTTCTACTTCGCCACTAACTTTACGATTCGTTTCACCGTTAGTCACCGGCCGTTAGTCTCCGTTAACTCTGTTAGTTTTTTGATGACGTGGCAAACGGAACTGCTGACTGGACCGTCAACTTAATGACATGTCAATTAAAAAAATTAAAATTAAAAATAAATGCCATTTTCCCCCTTCCACATCTCTCTCACTCATGTTCAAACCTTCCCTTCTTTATAGCAGCCGCCGCTCAAGGTTCTCCCCCCCCCCCCCCCCCCCCCCCCCCCCCCCCCCCGAAATCGTCACTAACTTCAACTCCAAACGGCGCCCTACTCCATTACTCTTCTTTTTTCTTTCTGCGACCCGAGCAAGGCAATAAATGGCGGCGGATGAGCTGTTGGCGAGGATCTATGACGAGTGCAAGTGCGACGATTAGCCTGGGCAGGAACGAACCCGTCGAAGGAGCCTTCGACGAAGCGTTGACTAGGCCTTCTGCTCCGAGCTCGTCGTGGGTCCTCAAGTAATTGGGGACGATTGGCAAGGAGTAGGTCTCCAGCGATGGTCTAGCTTGGTGTGCGGATCCGCGCCTTGGCGGGAGGAGGGACCGGCGGCGATGTTGGTGTCGAGGTAGTCTGGCGGTGGCGTGACTTTGAGACAGCGGCAGAGAATCGACGACTACACAGCCCGCCGGGAGAGTGGAGGCCACGACATCTCCCTCGCCTTCCTCCTTATGGGTGGGTTATTTCCCCCTGCACTGTTCCAATTCAATTGAAATTGAATTAATTATATAGAAACCCAATCCAATATAGTCTATTTAATTCAAGGATTGAATTCAGTGAGTAATCTGGGGGTGGATGCAGGGACATTGTCAATCTAGTGGGTTTACTTTTGGATGCAGGGACATTTGCTCTTAGCGCTGCCGCTACCTCTAGTTGGACGGCGATGGCGGCCGGAAGTAATTGAGTTTCGGTGGTCCACGGAGAAACACGACTTGGTCGGAGGTCGGTGGCTGTTGTTGTGTCTTGTGGACTATAAGATATGCACCCAATCTCTCTCCAACCTTGAGCAGCTGCTGCTCTAAAAAGAAGGGAAGGGTTGAGCATGAGTGAGAGAGACGTGGAAGGGGAAAAGGGCATTTATTTTTAATTTTTTAAATTGACATGTCATTAAGTTGACGGTCCAGTCAGCAGTTCCGTTTGCCACGTCATAAAAAAACTAACGGAGTTAACGGAGACTAACGGCCGGTGACTAACGGTGAAACGAATCGTAAAGTTAGTGGCGAAGTAGAAAGAAAAGTAATTCGGGTGGCAAACGTGAAAGATTTATGTAATCTGAGTGACCAAACGTGTAATTTAGCCCATGAATAATAGCACTTTTGGATTGAATTGGAGTTATTAAACTACTAATCATTATCCATTGTTGCAATGCACCGTGTAATTGAGTTTAAATTTAAAATATATCCATTCCAATGCAATGCAACGTTTGAGACTTCAATTTGGGAGTTGCATGAGTCCGCCCCAATTTTTGGAAGAACATGTCCCTTGATAAAGGTTAAAGGTCATGCATTTTGACGGTTGCTTCCAAAATTGTGCAACTTTTCATTGCTTTTGAAAAGTACCCGCCACATATTTGAAGGGCCATAACCTTTCAATGCACCTCTTGATCCTTTATAAATTAGAGGGAGTCGACAGGTGGTGGGGATAGAAAAAAACACACCAAAAATTCATTCTTCTTCCTACTAAAAGTTCTAAGTATGCTTTAGGTACTTAAACTTAGAACCTAAAGTGGTGATAGTTTTATCCTACGAAGAAATTTCCTGTAACCCTAGGCTTGTTGAGGGTGGAAATATTCTTTACGGAAAGTGAACGTAGTTCACGACTCTATCATAATCCAGGTCACCCAGTTTCGAGCTATCGTACGTGTACCCTCACGATAAAAGACCCAACAATCTCCACCAACAAATCTAACGGCAAATCATCCACCTTGTTAACCACACCAGGTTCGAACAAGGTCGGACCTTTCTCCTCCCTCTGTGAAAAAAGTATAGAGGACAGAAACCATTTCACAAGCAGAGCCAACAAAGAAAAGGGGAAAACCAAAGAACCCTAACCCTAGGGCTGAATCATGCAGGCGGAAGGGGAGTCCCTTGGGGAGCCAGAGGGATAGGGCTGCGTCGCGATCGAAACAGTCGCCGGTGGCGAAGCTTCCGGGTAATAATCTCGTGATGGGACAGGTGAAGATATTGAAGCGAGGGGAGTTGCTGGGGAAGAGTGAGGATTAGAAGAAGGGGAAGAAGGTGGTGGATTTGGGATTGGGATCGACGGATCGGTTTGGACCGGAGCTGGAGACGGTTCAAAAGGAGGTTAGGGTGGAGGAGTTTAATAAAGTCGTGGATGTGATGTATGCAGGTTCGGCTTTTTTTACCTCGCCGCCTCCGAGTTCGCTTTCTGTGTCGGCGTTTAATTGTGTGATCAGTGAGAAGGTCAAAGGATCATAGATGATGATTTGGTAGATGGTGGCGATGATGGTTCGCTTCCTGGTGACCGGTCGGACTCTCAACCGTGATGGCGGCGGGTGGAGTCGGGGAGGAGAAAGCGGGTTCGGGGAGGTAGTAGAAGAATTAGATTTTTATTTTTTATTTTTTTGGTGGGATTATTTTTATTTTTTAGTGATAATAATAATTATGTGGAATATTTAAAATATAGAATATTATTTTATTATTATTTTTAAGTGCCACGTCACACATTTAATGGTCAATTTTGAGAGTTGACTCCCACATCAGCTAAAGTTAACGGAGTTGGACGGAGAGCGACCGAACTTGAAATGTTTTACTAATTTTAGTGACCACGAATGAAATTAAATATTTTTAATGACTAAACATGAACGTTTTTAGTAATCTTAGTGACCAACCTGCAATTAACCCTCAAAATATATGCAATAAATTACATGCACAATCTTAGGGGTTAGGCTCTATGATTTAGATAATTAGACTCTAGATAGCGTTTTCTTTCTCAGAGTATGTCGTAACCTAGATTTTACTCAATGTACAATAGAAGCCACCGTCCTTGTATATGGCAAAGGCTAGTGTATGCTTACCTTATCGTACGCCCGTTGA